TGGAAACACAACATTGAATAATCTAGACAAAGATCCTCTCATGAAACTTATTCTTGTTTTTTCTCCCTGAGGTTTTTGACTTTTAACAATAGACAAAGTCCTGGCTTGGCTGAAAGACAAAGGAATCAGATTCTACGTTTAGAATGAAGCCACATTTCCCTGTGTGGGGGAGGGGAAGTTCTCCCAGCATCCTGAAATCACACAATGTATTCCACCTACTCATAAGTGAGTTCTGACTGGAACCAACAATGACTAGATCAACTGTCACTTTTCTTGGGCATTTGCCAGCCTCCAACAAGACAACCTCCTTCCATGGAGTGTCTTCAATAACAGGCAGGAATGGCCGAGGAGGGCCAAGTGCTGGCATTATTGACCAGCTCTGGGGCCCAAGATCACCACTCAGTCATTGCTCAGGAAGACACTGCCCCCTTGTGGTTACCTCTAGCCTCTATAACTGAGGGGGAAGCTGGCAGTGTTAACAGCTGCCTGTTAACACAAATTAAGACATTAAAACAAGGACAAGTGAGTTACCAAATTTTGGGAATAACTGTAGCTCTTGCCCTTCTGGGCTTCTTTAATTGCAGTTTCAATAAACTCTTGGTTTATTTTCATCCACCATACACTTTTGTTACCACAGAGAGAAATGATATTATGACAGCAATTAAAGAAACACATTTTTTTCCTACAGAAAACCTTATCTTTATCAAAATCTTCAGACTCCCAAGTAAAACCCAATGTCTAAGTCCAACTATCACTACTGCTTTTCTCTTCATAGTTCTGTTCAAGTATTTTCTACAATTAGAAAATTAAATTGCTTTCTACAATTTAAACCAGAATTCTTCGATTATGTTGCTGTGGAGTTGTTTTGGGTATCTTGTCTCCACAACACCACTTTAAACTCCCTAAAGGCAGAGGCCTAATCTTCAACCCCTACCATACTTGCAACAGCACGTAAACTAGTATAATAGGGTCAAGAATGTCTAGCTGGGGAGAAAGAGATAAGGTTAAAAAAGCAAATAAGTAATTAGAAATTGTGATTTGTGCAGTGAAGGAACAGCAGCATTCTGTGAGGGAGAATTCCTAGCAGTGGGAAGTGGAGGGAACCTACTGATGCGAAGTTTTAAACTTATTTGTTTGTAGTAGTCAAGTTTGAAAGCTTAAACGATCCAGTATTGGGGAAGCCCTCTAAGGTCCAGGAAAAATGGAACTTTTCCTAATAATAATGTTAGCTTCCATATATTGTGAACCTAAGCTGAGCAAGAATGGGTGCTAGGTGCTACATCTCTATTAATCTACGTTGTTATTGTTGGTTCCAACTCATGGAAATCCCTTGCAGAACGGCTCTATAGGGTTTTCAAGGTTGTAACCTTTTGGAAGCAGATAGCCAGGCCAGTCTTCCTTGGTGCCTGTGGGTGAGTTCCAACCACCAACCTTTCAGCAGCCAGCACCTAACCTTTGGTGCCACCCACGGGCTCCTCTATAATCTAAAATCTCCTTTAATTCGCATTACCCCAGAAGATAAGTATAACTATTTCTATTTTACGGAGGAGGAAACCGAAGCCAGGCAGTCCTTCCAAGGCTGGTGTACAGTTAAGGGTTTTCTTTCTGCATGCTTTGAGCCCTCTGAAGATCATCTCTATTAACCTCAAGTT